GCCCAGAGTCTCTGGGGAGAGAGAAAGGGCTGCCTTGACTCCAGTCTTTCCACCCCCACACAATCAACCCACTCACCTCAGTCCCAGTTCTCCCTGGTGGCCTCCATGAAAAGCAATGGGCAGTCTGGTATGTCTCCAGCCCTGGAAACAATGCCCTGTGCCTACACTGGATAGGAGCGAAGCCCACGAGCTGGGGCATGTAGGTGTGTACTGGACACCAGCAGGTGTACTCCTGGGTCATGTAAAAAAATGTGCCAGAAATTTCTCCATGGACCATGGCCATGTGATTGCTCGGAACCCAACTCTGCATGACAGTTCTAGATATCTAGATACTTGTTTGTATATGTGCACATACTTTACATAGGGGTACACGTATTATATATGTGAGTACATTTTTTGTGCATTTGGATGCGCAGAAGTGTGTGCACATGTGCTGTATGTCTGTGTGTGCATGGGTACCACCCACTCAGTGACACTCTTGAGGCCCTTACTGGACTTAGAGGAAATCTGAAGACTTTGCCTCTCACTTCCAGGATGCTCTCACACCCTACCAGGCACTTTCCCTCCCATCCCCCATCCCCAGTGTTTTTTTTATTCCAGAATCCCTGCGGATCCCCTCCAACAATTAAATGACTGGTCTAAATCATTTGGGGAGGAGTGGGGGCTGCTGGAGTCCCCAGTCTTGCCCCTTTCCACAAGTTGCCACAATCCTTTCACCTGGGTTCAGAGTGAGCGAGAAGAGGTCTCAGGTGGGGGTGATGAGGGATGGAGCCATGCTTGGCCACCTCCCTCCAGACAAAGTGAACATGATTTCCAATTTAAGCCATAGTGACATAGAGATTAAATGGGCCCCAGGCTGTGAGGCAAAGCGAGGAGGGGGTCTTCAGGCTCCCCACCCCCTTCCCAGCCTATGCCTGTTGGAAGATGGGGAATGAAGTTTGCCTGTATTGCCAGAGGAATGGCTTTCATGAAGAGGAAAAGCAAGGCTGACCTTTGGAGAAACAGATGGCCACCCCCAGAAAGCCACAGCAGACACCTTCATGGGGCAAGGAGTTTGGGGAGGCCAGTCTCCCTGACCCTGGCCTTGGCCTCAGCTTCTTGGTGTCAACCAAGAGCACCCCTATCCCTGCAGTTAGGCTTTTTCACTGAGGGCACTGGGGCATCTGGAAGCCTTGTCACAGGTGACAGGTGTGGGGGCCAGGTAGGGGGCAGGTTAGTAGACTCTTTCTCTGTGCCTTCAGCAGCCTGGACACACACACACACACACACACACACAGCAACTGCTATTGGTGCCCGTACACTCGAAACACATACTTATACCTCCCAAGCCTAAATAAATATATTTATTTATCAGTCAATAGCACCTCTATACAAATGCCCACACGCAATACAACCCACAAACATACAAGCTAACACAGACCTACAACGCACCACCATACACCCAAATACCCCTTCTGTAGTCCACCCCCATCCACACCTCCTCCTCCTGACTCTACTGAAGGAATGGGAGTTTTCTGGCAAGAAAACAGAGACCTTTGCCCTCAGAAAGAGCCAAGGATCAATACTGTTTAGACTTGGCTAGTGTGTATTTCCTCCTGGGCTGAGGAAGATTTAAGTTTATGGTTCAATCCAATCTTAAAAAAAAAATAGGTAGAATATAAGGAAGTTGGGATAGCACACTCTAATATTTATTTCGATGCAGCCCCAGACTTTAATACAGGCAGCTGGCTAAGCCAGACCCATAAATCAGAGAAATCAATGCCTGTTTATGATTATTATTACTTTCTTTTTTTAGAGGGGGTGCATGAAAGAAGTCTGACTGGAGTCCTCCTTCCCTAGTCTCTGCCCCAATCAGGAGGAAGGAAAATGGGGATGGGGAATAAAGAGAGAAGATAGGAGAGTCATTCTGGACCATTACTTGAGGACCTCAGCCAGATATCAGAGATAAAGGCAGTTGTAATGAGTAGATGTGACAAAGAGGAAGACACAGGGGGACAGAGGAGCCATGGACCAAATGCTTAAGTTCTCCAAGCTTTAGTTTCCTCCTCTGAGTAAAGAAGAAAATTCTATTTACCTATAGAGATTGGAAGATAAAAGGAGATAAGGGGCCAGAAGTTAAATTACATAATAATGACACATCCATGCAATTTACCAATATAATCCTGGAAAGAGGTGACCACCTCTCTCTCCCCCAGAGGGCTTGGCTTTGATCTCCGGGTACAGATAAAAAGGAGCCTGCAGGAACAGGATACTTCTTGGAGTTACTACTCGAGTTGGCCCCTGACTCCATCTGTGATCTTGAGGGGCACAGGTACCCTAAGAGGCCACACTAAGGAAGGGAGAAGGAGGAGTAGCCCAGTTTCCATGCATTTGGAACAGAAAGATTCTCTGTAGAACTGAGCACCCCAACATCCTATCTGCCTGTGGCCAGATTCCGGAAGGGGTACCCTCAGCCTCAGGTCTCAGCCCCCTAACCCAAAACCCTGGAGAGCTTGAAGATTCCAGGCTCCTCCCCTGCATCCCCACCCCAAGAAAAGCAAAGGATATACTTCCAGTTACCAGAAAACAACTGGCCCCAGGGAAGGGCCCACCTCACTGCTGTCAAGTCTTCACTCAAGGATTGGAAGAGCATCTATTATGTGTAGAGGTTACTCCACACACCCCAAAAAGATGTGAAAGGAATGCAATAAAGCTGGGAACCCATGGCAATGTCGAATGTACTCGGCAACTCCAGGCCCCTGAACCCCAACCCCCCAAGCCCTTCAACAGGGACTTCAACACCCCCTTGGCTTCCAAGCCCTGACACCTGGCACTGTCATTTCACATCCAGCACAGGCCCAAACCAAGGTGGATTTTTCAAGAAAGGCAGACTGATGGGTCATTCCCACTCTCACAATAATCAATCCTGCAAAAACAACAGGAAAGAAACCCAAGGAAAGAGCACAGAAGCGGGGTTCCCCTACACACACAAACACACCTGCAAACACAAATAAGCACATGTGCACACACTGTGAACTCAGAAATATCCAAGTGTGCATCGAATTACAGAGACATGAACATCCAATCGCATAATGTTCACATATGCAGAAATACACAAAGCCCAGTGGGCACCCAGATGGACCAGTATCCATCTACACATGATCACATATGCACCCGTTTTTTGGGACACCTGAATATCTGGTTATATGAGTATAGCTGCATACATCCGTACTACAGAAGAGAAGGAAAAACGTGGAGAACAGAATTTACCATTAAAAATAAAATCCTGGACCAAAGGAAGATTAGAAGGGACCTCCCCTTTCTCTTCCTAGTCCCTGAATAGTGGGGCCCAGTGGCTACCCAGGAAGGATAGGCCCCAGGGTGTCTGGGGCAAGTGTCCAGACATTTTCCTCTTGGAAATCTGGGGGTTCTAGGGGCCCAGGGGGCTGGTGTTTGTGCCCCATCTTCTGTCAGAAAGCAAGCCAGGCTTTGTTGGGATTGTGAAAAGAACCTTGATTATTAGACTTTGGGCAGGGTCAAGGCAGGCCTGTGTGCGTGGCCGAGATCTTGGCCCCAGAGCAATCCCCGTAGCTGACTGAGGGGCTGCGGCTCCACAGAGCTTCTCCGCATCCGGGCCTCCACTCCGGACTTTGCCACCATGAGTCCTGCCAAGCTCAGGTGCCGCCCTCGACCAGCCCTCTAGACAACCGAATCACTTCTCCTTTGGAAGAGCAGTGAAGTCCAGGCAGGCCGAGGTGGCCCTTGCTTAGGATTCCAGGCAGCCCCTCACCTCTGCCATGCCCCGGGAAGTCCTTTTGCTTCTAAAGGAGAAAACCTCCAGCAAGACTGGCATCAGAAAAAAAAAAAAAAAAAAAGACAGAAAAAGAAAAAAAGCAAGCTGGAGCAAGGAGCAGGTTGAACCAGAGTATGCTGCAGCCCGGCTGGTCCTGGCTCCGCGGGAAGCAGACCAGCAGCTCCGCAGTGTTTCCGAAGTCAGGACTGGGGTTTCCAGCCTTTGGTCTCCTTTGAATGCGATCAGGGACCAGGCGTGTCCTCCAGACCCTCCAAACCCGGGCCATCCCCGGGTCCGAGCCATCCCTAGCACCGCGCGCTCCTTGCCCCCTGCATTCGTTGTGCGGTGATGGATCCTAAGGCCTGGCTGAGCCTCCGGGCTCGGCGCCCGGTGTGCGCCCGCCTTGCGCAGGGCCGCCCCGCGTCTTCGCCCTTCCCCAGCCCGCAAAGAGGAGGGCCGTCAGGCGCTCGTGAGCACAGTGTACACTTTATTTCAGACTACAGGTTTCTGAACATAATAAAATCTTTGGCTTGTAGCGGCGGTTCAGTCTCGCAGTCTGTGGGGTCGTATTTCTCAACAAGTCTCCGGAAAACGAAAGGGTCGGGGGGCAGGACAGACAGACGGACAGAAGGGGCCAGGGAGATGGGGGGAGGGGGAGAGGCGAAGGGCAGACACGCGAGGAAACACACTCTCACGCACACAAAGAAAAGTCCCAGAGAAACGGAGGGCCAGCGATGCGGGACGGGAGGCACCGGAGAAGCAATAACATTCAAAAGAAAACGAAACTGGGCCGGGGGCAGCGAGGCGGAGGCGGGGGATAAAATAATTATAATAATTATAATAATTATAACAATAATAATAAAGAAGATTAATAAAAAGTCCAGCAAATAGAGATCGCTACACATAATTCTTTTCCTTACCTGAAATTAAATATATACAAGGTCGTAAGCTGTTTGGCTAGATAGAGCTTTAAGGAGTTCGTAGTTTTCGTCCCTTATACTGTGAAGAGAGAACTCATCTTATTTTTCGATAGCACCTGTCTGAGTCTTTCTCCCTTTTTAAAAAAAGAAATGTTTCGTTGCAATGTGACTCTCCATCCTGGGAACCTCTTTCTCTCTCTTCTCCCTGTTGCTTTCTTCCTCCTCTACGCTGATTCTTTCTCCCCGGGGCGTGGGGCCCACACGGCGGCGGCCGCGGTGCCAGGAGGGGGCGCGGGCGCGGCGGCCGGACCGCGCTGCCTCTGCCGGCGGCGGCTACTCGCTCTCGTCTTTGTCCTGGACCGTGGTGGTTGAATGGTTGTACAGTCCCTGCGCCATGAGGTGCAGCGCCAGGCCGTTCTTGATGCCCGTGGCTTTCTTGATCTTGGCGCGCTTGTTCTGGAACCAAATCTTGATCTGGGACTCGTTGAGGCTGAGCTCCTGGGCCAGCGTCTGCCGCCGCTGCTCGGTGATGTAGCGGTTCGCCTGGAACTCCGCCTTGAGTCTCTGCAGCTGCTCGGCCGTGAACGCCGTCCTCGGCCGCTTGTCTTCCTTCTCATTCTTCTTCTTCTTCAGCTTCCTGGTGCGGGGACCTGCAGCGGCGGAGGTGGGGACGAGGGGCAAAGGGGAGGGGGCAGAGGGCAGAGGGAGCCGTGAGAATTGCGGAGCGGAGCTGGGGGATCTCGCCCTGCGCTTCTGGGGCGAGAGCAGAGTCTGTGCAGCCCCTCCCGCCCACGAGCCCCTAGATCAATCTGCTGGCTACTGGGGCCGCTGGGTTCCCCTCTGGGAATCCTCTGGGATGCCAGAAGGGTCACAGAGGAAAACTGGCCGGCCGAAGTTGTGTATACACCTCACACCCCAATTCAGAACAGACCCAGCCATGATAGGCTTAAATCATAGAGTCCAAGATGGAAAGATATTTGGAGACCTATCTGGCCCAACCCAGAGTTGGAGGTCAGGGGCCTGCTGTCTTCACAGCCTTGGAATAAAAAGAGGCTCAACATTGGAGTCATGAAGACTGGGCTAGGACTGCCCTGAGGGAATTGCCAGCCTGCAAACTATTTTTCTTCCCCTCCTCAAGAAGCATCTACACCCACACACCTACAATAAGACCACATCTGCTTGTAGCTACTGACTCCAGAAAACAAGGGGATAAGGAGGGCAATCTGAGAGGCTTGCCTAGCTCCAAAACATTCAGCATCTGTTCTCTCTACCTGCTCTTCTTTCCCTCTGGCCTAAAACGAAGCCCCTTATAGAGTCCCAGGAAGACCCTGTCCACCTGCTTCCTGGAAAGCGAAGAAGAGGCCTTTCCCCAGTTGTATGCCTTACTCACATGCCCAGGCCCCTGGGTTCTCTGCTTTGTCCCTTGGATGGTACCAGTAAGAAAGAGGGGACCCTCCCCATCCTACACCCAGTGGCACAGGCAGGTCTCTCTCCCTAGTCCTTAGGATACAGAAGCTGCAATCACAGGATTGAAAACTGAACAATAAAAGCAAGTCAGAGCTGTCTTTCCTGCCCACCTATGGTGATCTGTAAGAAAGCTGCATGCCCCTCCCCACATCCAGGAGCAAAACAGGGGCAGAGGGACAGAAAGGGTGGGACAATCCCGACAAAAATCTGTGCTATGCTCTAAGATGGTTATGGGAAGAGGCCACAGGAAACCTTCCTAGGAAAGTGAAGTGTCCCTCAAAAACTAGTCTGGGAAGAGGGCTGGCTATGAAGTCCAGCGCTGAAGACAGGAAGAAAAAGAAAGGCCTCCACATGCAAGTCTTCTCTAGCATTTACTTTCTGGGCCCTGTCATGGTTATGGGAGCTTCCTGAGCTGAGTGAAGTCCCTGTCAGGCCTGTTAACCTCTAAAATTGTCTGGAAAGAAGGGCCTGCACCGGCATCTCCAAACCTAGTGACAGAGGGGTAAACCAGGCAGCTGGCCTCTGGGGCAGACCAGCGCCAGGGGTCACCAGCTGTCCTGTGACAAGAGTCCAGGCCTGGCCGAGCACCACAACTCAAGACTGGGTTGAGGTTCCTCTCCTTGAACTGCACCTGCAGGATTAGAAACCAGCACCCTGCCTCTCCAGGCTTGTGAGAAGGAAAGCAGCCAAGAACAAAGACAAGGCCCACTCCTGAGCCCGATGCAGAAAGCACTGGGAGGCGGGGTGAGGGGCCAGGAAGGCCTTGGTTTAGCTTAGTAATTAGCTGATCCAGCAGAGGTGGCCCAGGAAATGTGTGCAAAGTCGGAAAGCCCCCATTGCGAGATGGGCATCCCTTAGGTTGTTAGAGCCTTGTCGCAGTTGTGTTGTTACTGTATATATGGGTGCCCTCGCAGAGGCATGAACACTTGTAATAAAATCGTAGCCTCCTGGCCAGCCTGAGCCGCACAGCCTGACAGCTCAATCACTCTATCCATCAGGCGAGTCAATCAAAGCAGCTTTTCGGAGGTTCAGGGAGCCCGATGTGTCAATAACGGGGCTCGAGATGGCGGGGGCTGATAGCGCTCATCGATCCGCGCCCGGCCAGCAGCGGTGGGAAGTCAGAGACCAGTCGGAGTGGAGCGCCGCACCGCGACGCCAGCCCGGCCTCCTGCCAGACCCGGGCGCGGAACCCCAGTCGTAGGCCAGAACCCCTGCCGCCCTCCTCGAGGCGCCCATCAGCCTCCTGGGAGCTGATGTCCCTGGAGGCGGGCAGGCCACAGCCTCCTCTCCAGGGGCCTCGTGGCCGCCCCTGAGTATCTCTCGGCCTGGGGTTCTCCAAGCTCAAAGAGGTATGTGGGGAAAGGGCCAAAGAAAAACTGAGAAAAATGGGCCTATGGCTGGCAGAAATTTGCTAACTGGCAGATGTACGGAAGGAAGGAGTGAAAAAAGGAAGGGGCAGGGCCGGGAGGATGTGCTATGCGGGCCGCGCAGAAGCTGAGGTGGGGGCTGGCTCTCATGCCCTCGGCCCAGATCTCTGGCCTTAGCCTAAGGTGTCTTCTGTCCTCTCCCCCGTTTCTGTCAGTTCCAGAGAATCGGGAGCCAGGGGCTCTCGGCACCCGCTGTTTCCGAAACTGCCTTTCCCTGGATTCTACCAGGCGGGTCAGGCCCTTTTGGCTGCCCGGCTGGGGAAAGGAGGACAGCGATAGGCACGTTTCCCTTTCTTCCTGTGTCTCCTTACATCTATCTCTATGCAAATGATCTCTCCGCAGAAAATATCGATACGGTGTTTATGTCTGCAAGGACACAAAGCGAAGATAATTTCTCTAATCAAAGCCTTGCTCAGTTTCGGCCTCCGCAGGATTTCAGACCCAGATCGCTAGGCCCACCTTCCAGCTGATTCTAAAAACCCCTTTCCCTGGAAGAAAAAGCAATGACTGATTGGGTCTTTACTAAGAATAATAAAGAAGTGTTTTAAAAATAAAACACAAAGAAGGCCAGAAGGGCTCGGAGTTAAAAATCGAAGGGTCCCACTCCCTGAACCCTGAGCCGTAACCTCCCAGGCGGTAGTCGCAGAGCCCAGGAGCGGAAAAACTGGGTCTAACACTCGGTAGTGACTGGAATCGAAGGTGAAAAGGAGAAAGCAGGCGTGAGAAAAGAACCCTCGGGATCCGGCACGCACGCTCTCCCCAGCCCGGCGGCTGAGAGTTCTACCGGCGTTCGCCGGGCTCACCGCGCCGCCTGGGGCCGGGTACTCACCGGAGGACGGGCGATCGGAGTAGCGCGTGCAGTAGACCCAGGCGGGCCACACGAGGGGTTGCTGCGAGTCAGTTTTCACTACGGGCCCGCCGTTAGCTGAGCCCATGAGCAGGATGGCCGGGTTGCTGTGCTCCGGGTACTTAGCACCCTGCGCACCAGGACTCCCCACGCCGCCTCCGCTGCCACCGCCGCTGTCCGAAGGCTTGGCCGCCGCCGCCGTGCGGGGACACCGGCACGCTGTCTCCATCGCTGCCGCTGCTGCCGCTTGCGCCGGGGCTGAGACTCAGGGTGAGGCTGCCAGGGGCCGCCGCCACCGCCGCCGCCGCGCCGAGGCCCGAGTCGCGTTGACTTTTAGGTTCCGGCTGCTGTTCTTCCATGCTCGGCCGCCCCGCCGCCTCGGCCGCCGCGCCGGCCCCCGCCCCCCCCGCCTCGCTCCCCACCCCACTTTGCCAGCGGCCCGTGGGGGTGCGCGGAGGAAGGAGGCCGGCAAAGCCCCAGCGAAGGCACGGGGCGGGTGCAGAAAAAAAAGCCCAGGCGCCTGGCCTGGATCGCTCGCTCTTATCGAGCAGATCTCGCTGTCTCTCCCTCTCTCTAATTTGTAGACATCCAGATATGGAGACACTTGGCTATTTCTTTTTTCTTTCTGCAACCAGAATCAATGATTTGTTTTAAATGGGGAGTAAGCCACGGCTAAAAAGAAAGGAAAAATAAAAAACAGGAAAGAAAAAAGCAAGAAAAAAATCTCCAAGAATTTTTTTTTCTTAAAGATAAAAAAAAAAAAAATAGTCTTTAAAGTCTAGCCATCTTCCTAGGCAGTAGTGAGGGGTTTGACTTCCCCGAGTGTCACGCTCAGCTGTGCCCAGAGCGCGAGGCTGGCAGCGCCTTTAATCGCCTTTGCTTTTTTTGCAGGGAGAGCGCGTCTCCGCCAGCGCCGGGGCTGCTTTTTTTTTTTTTTTTTTTTTCAAATCTCTGACAGCTCGGATCTTTGCTCAAACTCTCTCGCTTAAAAAAAAAATCACCCAGGCACACTTTTTGCCTTCAAACCGGAAGCACGTGAGTCAGGGCCGCACGTGTGCGGGGCCAATGGCGAGCCAGGACTCGCGCTGACACCCGGGCCTCGGCCCAATAGGCGCGCGCGGGACTTTGCGGATAAATAATCCGGGGGCGGCGGCCGCGGGCGGAGAGGGGGAGCCGCGGCGCGGGCCCCGTGTGTCCGGCCCGCCCTCCCCTACCCACACCCGAGCCCCTCCCCCTCTTTCAGGCCAGGACCGAGGAAGGGGCAAAGGAGACCAAGAAGGGGTGGATTGCGGGGTGTAGGCAAATAGACAACTCCATAAACAACTTGTTGGAGAAATGCAGGATTATGGGTGCGTCCGTGCAGGCGCAGGATCAGGAGGCAGGGGCATCGGCTCTTTTGGCAACCCCCATGCCTAAGAAACAGCTTTTTATTTTCTCGCTCTGGCTTTTTCTTACTTGTTATTAAGGGTGAAAGAGTGCTATCACTGAGTCTGTGTGTATCTGGTGTGTGTTTGGGGAGTGGGGTGGGGAGAGATGAACCGAGGATGGTCGGAGATGTGAAACAGACCTAGATTTGGCTACTTTCAGTGGAGCGGTTTATTTTTCACAAGTAGCAAACGCCAGAGGCCAGCTGCGCCTCGCTAGGTTTGTAGGTTTGTAGTGCATGTTGGCCGGCCGCACTGCAAGCCCTTCCCGGGGTTTCAGCACCCATGTCCTTCCCTTGCGGGACCTTTGACAACCCCTAGGAGCTGTCCCGCCGCCATTAAGCCAGGTCCAGAGGGCGCGAGAGAGTCCTTTCCTGGCCGCCGGAGTCGAGCGGTCCAGGCATCTTATAGTTGTCCTGAGCCAAGTAAGTCAGGGTGCGGATACCCGCGAGGCCCTGGCTTTTGAGCTCAGGGCAACCTCCGTTTTAGATTTCCATGCGAAGTGAAATCTAGCGGATAAAAGTACTGCACTCTCAGTATTTGCTCTAGCCAGCTGGACAGCGAATTTCCCCCAGTGGCCCAGATTTTCTTGGGATTGTTTCTCAGTCCCAGAAGGCCTCTCACTGTAGCCCTGCATTTTCTTATCAAGTTTTTTTAGGGGAGGAGGGACCGGCAGGGGCTCCTGCCGCTCCCACGCTCACGGAGATCTGTCTTCAGTCGCTGGGCTCTTTTTCGCTGTTTCCTTGTTGAGGCACCCCTAAGTTTTCCCACTGCCAGGGACAAGGTAGGGGAAGGTGAGGCGCTGAACATCGGCGGGGTTTGGTTTGTTTACCGAGCCTCTTTGGAGGGCTGGCCTCCAACTATGTGGTGAAGCGTAGAAAAGCTCAGGCAACTGAGGCCTCCGAGAGGGTGTTATCACGGAGCTCCGGCGAGCATCTAGCCGGGACCGCCATCCTTAACTGGGGCGACGGAGAAAGGAGTTTTTTGAGGATGTTGTCTAACGGAAGCATGCAAAAGAATCCCCCTGTGCCCAGAAAAGTCACAGAGGGTTAGGAAGAGAATAAAACGAAAATGACAATAACCGGAACCCCCGCACTAACCGAAGTTTCTCACAAGGGGCTAGTGGAGAGCGGGGGTTGGTATTGCTAGCTGCATCTCCGGGTCAGCCAAGGGTCTTCCGATGCTCGGGGCTTTCGGAATTCCTAGCTGGACTTTCCCGCGGTTCCGGGGCGGCGAGAACCATTTTCCCGAAGCGCAGCGCTAAAGCAGGCCCGACGTGATCTCCTCAAACCTCCCAAGTCGCCCCCCAACCCCACCTGGGGGTCTCCCGGGTCCTCCTCAGTTCTGCACCCAAGGGCTCCCCGAAATCTCCCGGTACCCCCACCCATTCTCCCCGAAATGGGGGTGGGATTTTATTTATATTTAAGTTCGCAAAATTGAAATCTTTATCCCGCAAGCGAGCGTGGGTACTTAATTAAATTCTAATTAGGACACTATCAATATCCTATTTAGCCGCGTAGCTTTTGTGCGCCGCGGTCCCTTTCAGCGCCGTAAATAGGGTCTCGACGCCTTATCTCGCCTGCAGGAGACGCCTCGAGAAGGGCTGCGGAAGATAATTTATAGGTTTTAATTACTCTTCATTCCGCCTGATCAGCTTGGCGTTCATCACAGGCCTGTGAATAAAACCCTGGTCAAAAGCTCTGTCACATCGCGCTGGCAAGACGCTTAATCAAAGTGAGCGGCCCCGCGCGCCGCGCGGCCCGGCTCCTCCACGTAATTTCCAGCCAGCTGATAAAGCCAGCTGAATAATGCGGCGGCCCTTTGGAGACACCATTTACAGAAATGACTTTATTGACGGCTTAACGTCGGTAATTCATTTTACCTTTCATGTAGTGGAGCCCGGATTTGTTACAGTAATGGGATGATAAATGCACCCGCGGCCCACGAGCTCGGGGCTGGATTAGGCGGTGCTCCTCGCACTGGTTCGCCCCCTCCACCCCGCAACAGCATCCTCCCCCCAGGCCAGGCCTCCGCCGACGCTCCGCATCCAGAGCCGCCTGCTCTCCGAGACCCCTACCAGGGCCCGAGCCCTCCTCTCTTCTTCCTGAAAATGAACATATTATTGGAAACTTGGTGTTAGCGGGTCGGTGTCCTGGCAAGCCTCATAATAGGGTGTCACAGTGAGCAAATGTTGATCCAGGTGGGTGTGTGAGGTTCCAGAGGACTCAGAGGGCGCCCAAGACTGGACATGTGGGTGAGGAAATACGGGCAGGGTGACTCTGTAAAAGCCTGTAGGTAGAGGGGTGAGGTGTGTGTGGAGCAATGTGTGTGCAGGCGTGAGTGTGTTTCTGTGGCAGTCTTTTAAGATGTACTGGTTTGTGCCTTTGAGGATTTCTACCAACTTGATAGATGTCCAGGAAGGGGTGGGCAGTCAGGAAGCAGTTTGGGAGAATTTTCGCAAATCCAATGGAATCCTTTTCTTCAAATGCCCTCTGCTCCAGGGCCAAAGATTTGGAAGTTTAGTTCTGAGCTGTGCCGCTCTGATGGGGCCAGAGGGCTCACAGAAGGCCACTGACATAGCTATATCTCTGCAGTATATTGACTGTCCCCAAGTTCTGCCAGCCCACATAGAAGTGGAGAATGATGAGAAAGAAAAGGATTTTAAATGCCAAAAGGAGCATTTCTTTCCTCACTTCATTGAAGGGCAAAGGGAGTCGAAAGAGGCTTTCAATGGTGGGGGGTGGGGTAAGCAAGACAGGGACCCCTCTCAACCCTCCTGCCTCTCTCCCGCTCCCAGACTTCCTCCACTGAAGCTAACTAACCAGGGCCTGCCGCTGAGCTGAAGGCACCTGGCCAGAGGGGAAGTGTTTGTGTGTTTGGGGGAAGATAGAGAAGTTTGGGGACCATAAGTAGGAACTGATGAGGAGTAGAGGCTGGGGTACTGTACCTTTGTTTTCCAATCTTGCAAAAACCACTTACGGACTTGGAGAGTGGCCCATGGCTATGGGGGAATGAGCCTATATTTGTGTCTATTGCTTGAGTATCTGAGAACCAGAGACAGAAATGAGTCCATAGAAGCTTTGTTTATATGTCTGTGTATTTGTGTGCATGGCTGGAGGCTAGTGTATGTACACATCAGTGTGTACACCTGAGTCTGCCCCACCATCTGGGTGCAGTGAAATGTATTTGGTGAGGGTTTTGGTGTATGCTCTTCAGAAAAGAGAAGTCTCCCACCATCTCGCATTCCATAGAACTTTAGATTTCGTTTAGGCAGAGACAAATGTCATGGTCCTGCCTACTTCCACCTGTCTTTCGTGGATGGGTGTGAGGAGGAGAATTGTGAAAGAAAACCTTGCAGCCTGTCCAGGCGAGCATGCGTTGGGCCGAGAGGATGAGCGTGTTGCATGCACACGGTGGTAATCGCATTTCGAGTGTAGATCAGATGGCGGTGGGGCCTCGTGGCGCGGGACATGAATGAGTTGTCGCAACACAATAGCGCACAGCCTTCCTACGGGGACTGGGTGACCAGCGGTTTTGTTGGGAGTGAATGCGAGGAGATTTCTGCTACAAGTGCCTTGGTATTATTATGAGCCGGAAGGTCAGACTATACATCGCAGGTCCCCAAAGCCTATAGACCTTGGGAAATGTGGGGCCTCGAGCCACGTCATACCTGACAGTCCTTTCAATAGACTAATTCAATTAGCGCTCCGGGGTTTTGGTCTTCATTTGGAAGCGATGATAATGTAGGGTGTGAGTGGGTGCAGGGGGATTCAGTGGGTATTGGTTAGGGATCCTAAGCGATTGT